ATATATATATATATATATGTATATATGTATATATATATACGCATGCATACACAATTATATGGATATATATATAAACTTAAATACATGCATGCATACGTACATACATACATACATGCATACATGCATACAGACGGACGGACGTGCATACATACATATAGATACACACAAATATTTTTGCTTAATTCTCAAAGATACTTAAGCTGCCTTGACCAAAGGAATCTGGGGTATGCTTAATTGCACGTCACTCCGCCCTGATAGATCGCCTCAGGCCTTGCGTCACGCTGAGATGGGGGAGTGTGTTGTGTCTGTGAGTGGGCGCCAGAGCTCCTGATTTGTATATTCATTTATATATTTATTGGTGTTACCAGTATTGCCACATTTACACACACACAAACACACACACACACACACACACACACACACACACACACACACAGATAGATAGATAGATATACACACATGTATGCATGTATATATACACACATATATGGGCGTGTGTGTATGTATATACTACCACTGATGTTACCATTACTATTACTTCCTCTACTGCTGCTACTACTACACTGTTATATTACTACTACTACTACTACTACTACCACCACCACTTCGACTACTTCCATTATTATTATTAATAGTAGTAGTAATAGTACTACTACTACTACTTCTACAACTTCTACTACTCCTACTCTCCCTACTACAACAAGCATTAACCCATCATCCCATTCATTATTATGACAATAAGCATGTCTTGAGGGCGGAAGAGGAAGTTGCGTCGTCCTTGCCTTGGAGGAGCGCTGACCCGTTCTGCCTGAGCCAGCGATTAATGTAGATATGTTTACGTCATCGCTTTGCTTTCGGGGGAAAACCAGGCTTGTAGGAAAGAAAAAGAAGTTTGTGTGCGACGGCGGCGGCAGGTACTTTCATTGGGGTGTGGCGGGGGGGGGGGTTATGCGTTGGTATAGCTTGTTTGAGTGTTTTTGTTTTGGTTTCATTTGGTTTTGTTATTCGTGATTGTGTGTATGTGAGTGAGTGAAAGAGAGAGTGAGTGTCTATATGTCTGTCTGTCTGTGTAACAGCCAAAATAAAACAGTCATTCAGTGAGAGACAGAAAGAAACAGCAGCGGATGAAGGAGACGGCGAAGGGGAAATGCACGCGAGGGCGCACGTAAGCGTGGGCGCGCGGGCTTCCTCCGTTGTGTAAAAGGGAAATAGCCCGACTCTTACATAATTTATCACGTACGGGTGTTTTTTCCCTCCTGCTCGGCCTGACTTTGTATCCACTAAGGCCACAAGGTCGTTAACTGCATTGCTGGGGTGGATTTGCAATTTTACAAGTGTCCGCTTTTGGAGGGAATGGTGAGGGAACTTGCTTGAAAACAGGATTTACGGTAATTAAGGCAGTCCATAAAAAAGAACCTTTGTCATTGTAATGAGGGGGATTGTAAAACTCATATGGGAAGTGTGAAGCCGTAGTGTTTGGTAATTTGATTATGTAAGTTTTTTTCAAATTATATGTTAAGATAATGGCAATGATAATATTGTTATTATTATCACAATTAGTATTATTGTTCTTATTATTGTTGATGTGGGTGTCGTTGTTATTGTCATTGTTATTATGATTTTTGCTGTTATTAATATTATCATCATCATCATTATCATTATTATTGTTATTATCATTAGTATTGTCATCATCATCACTCACATTTTTTTATTGTTAGTCAGGAAAGGAATAGATTAAAGTAGGAATAGGAATGATTGCATTTTAGACTGAGAAATATGCATCAATTGTGTATTGAATAAGTGAGTTAAGTAACTATAAACGTGGAATTTGTGCTAAAATGAGTTGAGAAATAAAATGTGGACAGTGGAAGGAATTGTGGGTGAAGTAAAAAAAATAGAAAGATAAACTAAAAGCGTAACGAAGGGAAGAGACAAAGACAGAGAGAGAGAGAGGGAGAGAGAGACAGACAGATAGATAGAGACAGACAGACAGACAGACAGACAGAGACAGAGAGGGAGAGGGAGAGGAGGGAGTGGGAGGAAGGGATGGAGAGAAAGTAGCCGTTAATGAATGGGCTGAAACTACTCGTGCCATGCCACTCATTCAAAGACAGACTGAGAACAAAAAATAAGGAGTAAAAACGCAAAATACACTGATGACATCCCCTACAGTAAAAAGCGAAAACCGTACAAGGGCGAATTGTAAAGTTAGATATTCGACAAGGTAAATGTTTGCCAAAGGGTGTATATATTATATCTTTAAGTGATGAATAGAGAGGAAGGAAGGAACAGAGAGAGAGCGAGAGCACGAAAGAGAGATACACGGAGAAGGCGAAGGGAGGAGAGAAGGGCGCTAGAAAGTGCACGAAGGCGAGCAGTTAGCGTTACTGTTATTGCGATTTCAAGAAGCTGCCCATCACGCCCCTATCTCCTCGTGCATCGTACCCTCCGCCGCCCGCAATCTCCGCCTCTTGTTTCTCTGCGTCTGTAACCTTGACCTGACCTTGGTGCTGCGGCTTGGGTTCGTTAGGCCGTTGTCATTTATGTTACGTATGGCGAAAGGGGCATGGGGCAACGTCATGGCCTTTGCGAGTCTGACTGTTGTGTGGGTTTTAGTGGGGTTTAATATTTAATAGTTCTTTGTTGTTTTTTATTTCAGAGTGTGGCGTAAGATTGGTTGAATATTCACTTCTATGTGAAACTGTATGCCTTGATTATCATATTCGATATAGTTCTTTGTTATCTTGACGCTGGTTGCTATTGTTTTTTATAGTGTTTTGTTGTCCTGGTGATTCACCTAACCGCGGACAAGTTAAAAAGTCTAAATGTTTTAGAATTTTCAATTGCTGCAAAGACGAACTTCTCTCGTGTTGATTTTAGAGGGTTTGTTACCCTATATCCAGCTCTAGGGTTTGCCTTTATGTTGTTTTATAGAATCCATGTTGACTTCGTTGTGGTTGTTCGTATCACCAAACGGCCACTAAAATCAGCGTCCAAGCCTTATTCAACCTGATACTACATCGCTCCGTCTGGTTTGGGAATGCCGCACATGCAAATTGATCTCCGTGCCGAGTGCCGTGGTTTTCTTTTGTTCGTGGCGTCGGTTAAATTTCCTTGTTTGAGTTTATGATGGCTTTTGAGATGCTATCAAGATGTGTGCCTTATTTATGTCCAAGAGTGTACTTAGATCCGAGGATAACCACAAGTTTTTTTATTTTTATCTTGGTGTGTGTAAACTATCATGGTACCATCATGGCTTAATTATATTCTAAGAGACATCATGTGAGATAAAATACTAACATGGCTCTTTCTGTATCGCACAAGGGACATGAATGGCAGTGTCACATTGGCACTCTGAGCTAAAGGAGACAAATGTTCGCTCATATAACCTTAGTTACAGATTTTACACTTCTGAGGGAAAGGAAAACTGGCAGACTGACCGTAAAATTTGTCATTTGTGGTTCATTTATCGGTTCGCTGGTGACATGTCATGCAGGTTATGCAAAACTAGTAGAGCTATTTACTTTCAAATCTCTTGTTTGCAATAGATGTCAATATTTTGTCAAGTGATTAGACTATTATGCACATTAACCCATACTGATTTAGTTTGATCTGTTAATATAGTGGTTTGGCGACTTTAGAGGTGACCCATATATGTGTGTGTGTGTGTGTGTGTGTGTGTGTGTGTGTGTGTGTGTGTGTGTGTGTGTGTGTGTGTGTCATATGCAATGAAGAATGTATAATAAGAAATGAAACGGTCAGTAAAAGCACATTTGAATAATCAGGACAAGTGGGGAGGGAGAGAAGGGTTGGATGAGAGCGTAGTAAGCAAATGAGGGCGACTGAGAGGTTGGGAGAGGGAAAGGAGTTAACCCAACGGACGTAAGACAGGCCGACTGGAGGAAAAAGTGTTAGAGAGTAGGGGAGGGGTATGGGGAGGGAGTAGGCAGGTCTGAGTGCACGGGAGAAGCATTCCCTGCCCACAAGGTAAGCTGGAAAACCCCTATTTGGCAAGGCACCCTTTTTATTAATAGACGTTTTTGTACATTCATTTTCAAGGTGAAATGCCGGCTCGTTCGTTGGCCCTCGCCTTCATTAGGTCGGATTTCATGAAAAGCTTGTCGCTTGTTGTATTTCTCTCTCTCTCTCTCTCTCTCTCTCTCTCTCTCTCTCTCTCTCTCTCTCTCTCTCTCGCTCTCTAAATTAGGATGTATTTTATTTCTTGTATTTCGTGCAGCGAAGCGCGAAAATTCGACTTACATTTTGGCATCCTGTTGCAACGTTTCGGATGATTTTGATCTACCAAGATCAAAAATGACCTTGGCTTGAGAATTTATGTTAGGTTGGTTGTATACTTCTGCTTTAACAGAGACGAAATATATTGCACGCGCGCTTGCGTACACACACACACACACACACACACACACACACACACACACACACACACACACACACACACACACACACACACACACACACACACACACACACACATACAGACATACATACGCACACACGTACATTCATACACAACTTTTCATGTGTGCGGTCAAACAGCTATTTTCAAGTTGTACTTTCCAACTTGATTTCGATCGACAAAAAGTAAACCAACCGCGAGAAAAACTCCCCAGACGCGATAATGATTGCTATGACGAGTGGGGTTCTCTGGAAATACGTACAGCGTCGCGTCTTTATTCCACCAAAAGGGAGGCAGTTGCATTAAGTGTTTGACGAATGGTCTCTGATTTACCTTGGTTCTGTAATTATTGGAAATAGTCAATGTTTTGGATTGCGAATTTTACGGTTTGGTGGTAAAGAAATGTTATAAGGTATTGGGTGGTAAACGAGAATAAATTATTTGATATAAATCACTGCCTCAACGAGATTACGAATTGGTTTGTTTAAGTTGAGCAGATTGCGTTTTTCTGTGTGCATGATGTGTGATGACTCAAGAAACCTTTGCTGTGCTCATGACCCATGACACTAGAGAGTACACTGACCTAAGATCACGAGGCGGAGGGCTGGTGCTCCCTGGGTAGCGTGGGCGGCCGTGGGCGTCATGGTCGGTTGATGGGCGTTGGTGAAGGGCGGATTTTCTCTGGCTGTCTGGAGTCACACTTCCATGCGCGGAATCATCTTTGTAATGTCACTACTTTGGACATTTTGATTTTATTTTTTAGAGTTTTATCTATGACTTTTGTAAATATATTTGTATATTTGGAAGGTTCACTCGTAATGAATAATATCAGCTTTTTATATGGTCTTATATGATGGCTTTTGGTATAGTTACTTGGGGTTTCACGTTTGCAAGTGGTATAGGCAGTTTTTAGAGGATAGTAATGCTTTGAGATTGCGGATCTCAAATCTGAATATCGTGTGGCCTCTCAGCTTTTCCAGTTACACTACAGCAAGTTATATTCCACATCAATTAGTCAGTGCGTTTAAAGGCAGACACAGCAAGTATTTTATTTATTCCGACAAATAACCCTTCTGCTGAGAGGGCGTGCGGCTGCGAGCGCGTGCCGTGGCAGGTCGCGCAGGCACGTGGTGGGCCGGGACGACGAGGCGAGCGGCGTGTGCGCGAACGGGACGACTTGGGACGACTGAGAGGTGCTCCAGTTCGTCGGCCAGCTCACACCCCAACCACTGTGGCATGACCCGGGAACCACCTCGCTTCCCCCCCTCCCTCCTCGTCCTCCTCTCCCCTCTCCCCTCTCTCGTGACCTTTGTCCAGTACAAGGGCATCCCCCTCCTCCCTCTCTCTCCCCACCCCCAGCACCGTCGGGTAGCGTAGCCACGCCCTCCGCCCGAACGCCTGGCACTCTCGGCCGAACGCGCGCACCCGCCGCGGAAGTCTGGGGAGCAGGACGCGTGCGGGGATCTCGCTTGCTTGCGAAGTTCATCCGAAAGAATGGAATTACTTGAAAATCGAAGAATGATTGCTTGAAGATATTAGGGTTAGTAAATGAAGGCAGGCATAAACGGGGTTCGAATGGACTTGACCTTGCTACCTACTTGTTCATGTCTCGTTACATAAGCTGACATTCAGTGGTGATAGTACACCTTCACGATGCATGTTATTTTAACGTGTTGGTGATGAATGGTGGGTTTCAAGTTTGGGTATAGATTTCATTGTGTATGTTATCATAATATGAAATTAGGGCTATATTTATCATTACTTATTCATTGGTTAACTTGCAAAAAATACAGTAAATGTGTAGTGATGACGGAATATTTGAGAAGCAAATGTAACATAAATACAGTGATAAAGTAGACTTACACACGCATTCTCTCTCTCTCTCTCTCTCTCTCTCTCTCTCTCTCTCTCTCTCTCTCTCTCTCTCTCGTACACACACACACACCGGGTTTACAGTATTATTTAGCTCGGATCCTGTCGAAGATCTAGCCACGAGACGAAAGACTGGTAATAACTGATATTATAACATGCTATTTATCTTGGGAAGCCTGATATCGCATTCTAGATAGTGAAACAATAAGGCGAACACGTCGGGACTCGGTGTTGAAATATCTGCCCTATTTGGTGGATTAAGGAAAGACGGATTCTGCTCGTGTTCCACTTCGGGGGCTCTTGTTCTAAGGTTTAACCATTAATTCGTTGATTCATGCGTGCAACATTTATCATCTTTGCCTGCTATACTCTCTCTCTCTCCCTCCCTACCTCCCTCACTCCCTCTCCCTCCCTCTCCCTCCCTCTCCCTCCCCCCCCCTCCCTCCCTCTCCTCCTCACTCTCAGTCCCTCTCCTCCTCTCTATCTATCTCTATCTCTATCTCTATCTCTATCTCTATCTGACACACACACATGTATTTGTGTGTGTGTGTGTGAATAAATATATATATATATATATATATATATATATATATATATATATATATATATATATATATATATATTTGTATTCATACATATACACAAATATATATATATATACATATATATATATAGATATATATATATACATACATATATATGTATATATATATATATATATATATATATATATATATATATATATATATATATATATATATATATATATATTTGTGTATATGTACGTATACAAATATATTTAGATATTAATGCATATGTATGTATGTATACATACATGCATACATACATACACGCATACATACATACACGCATACATACCTACACATAAATGCACACACACACACAAACACACACACACACACACACACACACACACACACACACACACACACACACACACACATACACACACACACACACATTTATATATATATACTCTCTCTCTCTCTCTCTCTCTCTCTCTCTCTCTCTCTCTCTCTCTCTCTCTCTCTCTCTCTCTCTCTCTCTCTCTCTCTCTCTCTCTCTCTCTCCCCTCCCCCTCCCTCCCTCCCTCCTCTCTCCCTCTCCTCCCTCCCCTCCCCTCCTCCCCTCCTCCCCCCCTCTCTCTCTCTCTCCCTCTCTCTGACACACACACGTGTGTGTGTGTGTGTGTGTTTATATATATATATATATATATATATATATATATATATATATATATATATATATATATATATATATATATGTGTGTGAAAGGAAAATAGCCACAGTAAGAAACGAAATTGAAATGTAACGTTTCGAACTCTTCACGAGTTCCTCTTCAGACAACTGAAAAACTAAAAATGGAACTTTTTTCGTGAAGAGTTCGAAACGTTACATTTCAATTTCGTTTCTTACTGTGGCTATTTTCCTTTCATTTTTGTGTACACGGTATTTTGTTTGTGTTTGTGTCATATATATATATATATATATATATATATATATATATATATATATATATATATATATATATATATATATATAATATGATATATATTGTATATTTGTGTGTGTGTGTATGTATGTATGTATGTATGTATGTATGTATGTATATATATGTATATTTATATATGTATGTGTGTTTACTTATAATACGTTGCATTCACCATTAGTTTGGCATTTGTTTTATATTTATACGTCTAAGCTACCACTCCTGTAGTTTCGGAGGACCATCGTTATTACTTGAATAGAAAGTAAGTTACCAGTAGTCAATTGGCTTTTTACAAGGGATATTTTGAAACTGATCTCACCTGACCTCATAAACTATAAGTAAAGGTGAGCCGCAGGCGTCTCCTCTACCTTTATTTTTTTCTACCTTCCTCTCTCCATCTCCTCTCTCCTCTTACTAACTAATCCTTTTCCTGTGCTTCCCATTTTCCCTTCTCCTCATTTCCTCTCTTTCATTCCAGTTCCACTTTCTTCTCACTTCATCTCTCTCTCTCTCTCTCTCCACCTCGTCTACCTATCCCTCCTCCGCATCCCCTTCCCCTTCCCTTCACCTTTTTCCTTCCTCTCCCTCTCCTTCTCCTTCTTCTCCCCCTCCTCGTCCTTTCTGCTTCTTTCTTCTATCTTTTCTCTTCTTTCTCTCCACGGCTTCTGCTCCTCGCTTGTGAAAGGGTGATGCTGCAACCTGTTGTTCCCCGGATGCGCCAGACGGTCAAGGCAGTTGACGAATATGGAGTAACTGAGAATGATAATAAGCGTAGAATAAAGAAGGTGGAAATGGTTGGAGGGTGAATACTGTTGCCGTAAGAAAGGCAGGGATAGAAATGGAACATGACAGTGATAGAGAAAGTAGAGGAACGGGATATATAGAGGAATGGAGAAGATTCCGGCCGTCCCGGATTTTGCTTGTTGCATCCTTGTTGGACCAGGATGTCATGACCCCGCCCGTCCCTTGCCCCTCCTCGGCACCCCTCCTCTTCCTTGTCCGCGATGCCCCCTCCCTGTGCATCCTCCTCGTCCTCTTCCAATTCCTTTGGCGAACTCTCCTCCTCCTCCTCTTCCTCCCCTTCCTCTTCCTCTTCCTCTTCTTTATTCCGTAGCCTTTTCCTCTTTCTTTTCCCTTACCTCTTCCCCTCCCCCTCTTCGTTTCCCCTACTCCCTCCTCCCTCCTTATTCTCCCCTCCTCTTATTCCTCCTCCTCCTCATCTCTTCCCTCTTTCTCATCGCAGACGGCGTCCTCTCCCCTCCCCTTCGACACATTTCTTCTTTTCGCCCTCCCCTCCCCTTCCATTTACCTCCTCAGGTCAACGTACTGCAATGGCTGCTAGAATATGCGGGATTTCATGTTGCTTTGGCCTTGAATCCTTTGGCTTGGACGATGGATCAGCTTCGTGCCTTGTGATTTCGGCTCCGAGTCTTGTGTGGTAGGACGGTGCTCTCTCTCTCTCTCTCTCTCTCTCTCTCTCTCTCTCTCTCTCTCTCTCTCTCTCTCTCTCTCTCTCTCTCTCTCTCTCTCTCTCTCTCTCTCTCTTATTCACTCTCAGTCTCTCTATCTCTTTCCCTCTTTCTCACTCTCCCTCCCTCCCCTTCCCCCCCTCACCCCCTCCCTTTCTCTTTCTCTCCTCTCCCTCCCTTTCTTTCCTCTCTCTCTCTCTCTCACTCTCTCTCTCTCTCTCTCTCTCTCTCTCTCTCTCTCTCTCTCTCTCTCTCTCTCTCTCTCTCTCTCTCTCTCTCTCTCTCTCTATTTCGAAGGTGCTTCTGTTAAGTAGTTTGATTATATATCATGAAATTACATTTTAGGTATCGTGAAAAGAAACACACCACCGCTTGTCTTTTTGTTGCTGTTACATAACATCTGAAGCATATAAAGTAACATTTTTTAAAACGAATGCACCGCATGTGGGAAGAGAATGCGGGTTGGGCAGGTGCCACTCGTCCATGTGTGTGTGTGTGTGTGTGTGTGTGTGTGTGTGTGTGTGTGTGTGTGTGTGTGTGTGTGTGTGTGTGTGTGTGTGTACGTAAATATGAACATTTATATGTATATGTATGTATGTATATATGTATATATGCATGCATGTATGTATGTATGCATATTTACATGTATGAATATGTGTATATATATATATGTTTATGTGTGTGTATATATATATGTTTATGTGTGTGTGTATATATATATATATATATATATATATATATATATATATATATATATATATATATATATATATATCCATTCCCATTTTGGTGGGGGTCATGGAGACTGGCCATGACTCTTGGTTATTTTTATCATTTATATCAGTGGTCTGTGTTCTGAAAACGAAATTCTTAGGGAGCCGTATCCAAGCGAAACGGACTTAGTATGAGTGATGAAAGCGAAC